TGAACCTCTCTGTTTTCACTTAACCCTTTTCCTGCTATTCTGAAGCAAGATCTCCCCTCTTACTTAATGAATCCATCCTCAAAATAAATCCTAACTGCCCTTTATTAATTTGCCTTCTGTTTAGGTACCTTGAATGTACAGGATGGTATAAAAAAAATAATCAACATTATCACTCATGATTCTCATAATAAATTATTCCCCTTCGTTTCATGCATTCAGATGATGCAGCCCCACAGAATTATTCAGACTTTCATCATCAGTAGTACAATTTCAGTATTTTATTTTGAAATTCTCTCTTAATAGCTAGTTTAAAACAAGTGAACAAGTGTAAAGTGTTCTTTATTAAATAATTCAAAAGATAAAGCAAACTGTGCGATTAAGAAAGACAACATCGCTGTTCCAAAGGATTTTTACAGCAGAAGACAAATTGCGGCAAATGAGCATTTCAGTCTAGCAGCCAAATTGTCCTCATTTTCATGGAGTTAATTTCGGTCCTCAAATTGTGACTTGTTTTTTAAAAGATAGGCTGCTAGAAATTCAATGGGATTTGGCGGTCTGTAAAGAAAAAAGTAAATCAAAGCAATTACTTTTGTTATATGAAAGTAGGTAGCTGAAGAACTAATCACCTTTCTTGAAAAGCAACATAACTCCTTCTAAGCACTTACCAGCATTTAGGGATGACCAACTGCCTACAGTTACCCAAAAAATTTCTAGTTTATGTCTCATAAGTTTTTAATGAGTCTTTTTCACCATTGGTTCAATGTTACTAAACTGCTAGAATGGTTACATGCCTGGAACCTAGGGTATACTCTTAAAGTGTAAATACTGCATGTACATCATTGGAAGTTACATGCATTTGCCTATTCCTTTAACTCATGCTATTCAAAGTAAAAGTTAATCTGTCAGTGCTTTCTTGCTTATTTTCCTTAAATGCTTATTGTGTAGCTTCTGCATTAGAGCTGTTTTCATGGTTTCTGGTAACTGCTGTTTCTTTTTAAATGAATGCAACAAGAACCCAAAGTTTGAGAAGTACTGGAACTTGCAATTAGTCCCTAATACACACGATCACTTGCCTTAGTCCTTAAGTTTTTGTTTTAAAAGTTCCTTCAGCTACAGTGCATGAATTCTGCTAATCTAGATTCTGTCTGCAGAATAAATGGCATGTTTACGTATTCCACACTGGCTCAGACAGGAGGTCCTGGTAGTGAGCAAGTATGCCTATAAAGAGCATAAAGAATGGAAGAGGAGTGCAGAGACACTTCCCTCCTAGACCATCTTTTTGGCCTCCAAGCCAAAAAGAGTAGAGTTAACCAGCTTCCTGAGCTAGCACCTTTAATACTCCTGGGTGGGTTCTTCTACAACTTTGACCAGTTGCACCTTGAGCCCAAATAAAATGTTAATGTCTACAACCTGATGCAAGTTATACAGCTTAATAATGTGACCTATGAAGGATCACCACTTTTTAATAAACAGTCTATCCCAATATAGCATCTCCGTGCTGTTAATGATGTATCAGATTCCTACTATATTCTCTCTCAAAAATATCTTTTCCAGGTTGAAGTATGCTCTTCACTCCCTACTAGTCACTCCCTCGACAGGTAGTGTTCCATACTTCTGACCACCTTGTCACTCTTCTTATTTTTTCACATTCTACCAGAATGCAGTGGAATTGGAGCTACACACAACATTCAAAAGAAGACTATACATTTAAATAGCAGCATTATAATTGGTTTTAGCCCTTCTATTTCTACATCCTACCATTCAGAATTTACTTTTGATTGAGCAATGCATTGACATATACATTTAACAATTTAAAGATATTTTTCACAAGGGTAATTGCCAACTTGGAATCTATCATCTTGCCACTAGCATCAGGGGATTTATTACCCTCCTAAGTGCATAAAATTATATTTGAATTGGATTTTTTTTCTCATAGATTCAGTTTTTCATAGCAATCTTCCAGTTTCACATCAAATTTATTACATTCCTGTGCAATTATTTACAGTCTATCAACCTAAAAACCAAACAAACAGAAAACAAGACAACACCCCCCAACCTATTCACTGAAACTCCGCAGCATTAACACATTTTGGCCAACACTTGTTTAAATAGTTATAAATTATCCTACGATTCTAGTGTTGAGCTCATTTCACCATGAAAATTCACCATTTACTTCTATCCTCTATCTCATATCTTCCAATCAGTTTCTCATCCATATAAAGGTTTTATCTTAAATCCTACAGCAATTTACTCTTGTCAAAAGCCTTCAGTGAAAGACCCTGCCAGAAGCCTTTTGGAAATTTAGGCAGACTGTATCATCTAGATTTGTGTTCATGTGTGCTCACTGACTCCTTTGGTGAACACCAAGAGACTTACGAACCCTGACAAAAGTTGTGTTGACTCCTCCCAAATATGTCATTTATTCATATGCTCACTATCCTGCTGGATGGTAATTTCTACTTAATCTCAGCCACAGTGATCAGATGTACTGGGCTATTCCCTGAGCACCTCTATATTCCTTAGAAAAAAAAAAAAAAATAGCATCCATTAGCTACTTCCCAGTTCAAATTTAAGCAGAAGATTACACAGCAGAACTGGTCATTCAGCTTTGTCAGCCCTGAGGTTTGAATATGCTCAAATGAATAGACAATTTGACCTTGGCAGTTTGTCCCTGTTAAGTTTTTTCCTATACCTTCCCCAACCTCTTCTACCAATGTTCCAATTTTACTCCTGTGGTGAGTCCCCATAAAGAACAGCTGCTTTCATAGTGAATATTTAAATAAAAAGAAAAGAAAAAAAATTGTGTGTGACACAATGATCCAGAGGGTAAGTGTGGGGTGTTGACCTCAGGATGTGTTTTCCATTATCTGCAGAACTCCCACAGATGGTCACATGAAGGTCTGCACACTGCTCAGGTGTGCACACCAGGTGTGCCGTCTTACATGACCTTGTGCCCAATTAGTTGCCTGTGTAACGCAGTTCAAATTCACAACTTCTTTTGAGGTTAAGACACTGTTGATGGTTGTTGTGGCTGTAGGTACTGTGAGGCAATTACAGTCATCCATGCCAGCTTTTGATACCATTATTTGAAAAGTGGTTTATTCGCTGTAAGACTTGCCAATAATTCAGATACACCAAAAGGCTAGAAATTAATTTGGGTAAGATGAACAACTGTTTGCTATTATTGAAGAATACCCGTCTATATTGACTGCTAAGAGATTCAGGGCACTTTGACAGCACAATCTTTACTCGAAGGTTTAACTATCAGTTTGCTCCTAGTTGTGTTGACAGTGCAGAGTCAGCCTTATCCTTTAGAAGCTGTTTTAATCTACAACAAAGATGCATGTCAGGCCCAATTTGTCTGTCTGTCCTTCTTTTAAATGACAAGCAGAACTCTTAATTCCCTGCTACAAAAACCTTGTTCAAAACAAGAATGCCTTAATTCTATAATGTGAATTCTGTGATAAAATAGTTTTTAAAATACACTTCCCCCTGCAAAACCTTTGCAGTAACATACCTCATGGGGAGATCACAAATTCAATAAATAACTTTTATCACACCGTATGCAAATAAGTGAGGAACACGTCCTGCATGGTCAATCATAGCAGTTCATAGGTTCATGAACCTGTTGTAATGGCTCTCTTACAAGCAAACTAGCAAAACCATATCTGGTGTGCAAGGTCTGAAAAGATGGCATACTACCCGGTTTGAGACCTAATTATTTCTTAAGAACAGAAGGAACATTGAAGCATTTTACCTCTCTTTTGCAAGAACAGCAAGTCCCTGTAGCAAGATAGGTACAACTGTCTGATCCAAGTAGGCACGGGTGGGTAATGACTGAAGATCCACCTTCTGCTTTGATGTTTTCTCTGCATTTATTTTCTCATTTTCTACTATCCTCTGAAGTAAAGAAAACAAAAGTGCATGAACATCAGTAATAGCAGCCACATCAGCAATCAAGTGCAAGTGGAAATAAAGTGCCCATTTCTCTGCAATTCACTGGCAATAAATTCTTTACATTTTAAGAACATTTAAGTGCACAAAATTTTTCCTTGCCCAAAAGTCTAACCCAGAGGACCCTTCTCTTAAATTCATGTTTTGGGGAAAAAAATGTTAGAAAGTCATAAGTTTTTGAAAACAGAAGACACCCAACCTCTAACATTGTTATTTCAGCTTCTGCATTCAGATTCAAATTCTACACCACTGAGGCAGGAATGAGTACTAACAAAAGCGGTCCCAGATACATGGTTCCTGTGTGCAAACACTTGAACAAAAATGCTAAAAGTACTAGAAATTCCGGTGAAGTGTAACAAAGAGGATGCTGTTAAAAGTCAGGCACTTTTAGACCATGCACTACTGAATTACAGATGGACACTTTAAAGGAAGCACATTCAAAATGTTTCTAGCTGCCGTTTGGTCAAAGTGCTGACACCATTAACTCTATTTAAAAAAATATATCCTGCCACTGTCACTAAAACAAATATATTCAGCGCAGCACACACAAATCTACCAACATGGGACCAAGGTATCCATTATGTTCCTGCTCAGCAGTGGAAGCTGAGGCACACAAGCAAGCAGTTATCAAGGAGATAAGTCCCAAAGGAAATTTAAGAAAGGTTTCTGAAAAAAGCTTTGCATAGAGTAGGAGCTTACAATGGAGGAAGACTGAAGACTTTTCTTTAAGCATAAGAGAAATAAAATGTTATAGTTATTATTCTAACCCACACTGTTAACAACAGCCAAGAAAATGGATTTTGTCTACTCTTTCTCACCATAATTAAAGATAGCTTGGATTATTCCAATCCAGTGTTTACACTGACTTGAATATGAAAATCATCCCTCCCTTTGATGGCTTTTTTTTAAATGGAAAAGCCATCAAATCCTCCTATTCCCCTCCCTGTAATAGAAGTCTGGCTGGCTTTTTGTGGCATAGTATGTTAATATAACACAGCATACTTCCAAAACATCCTACCTCATTAAAATGTTCATCATTTACTTCAGTACCATTTAGTATAATCAAAGCAACACAACAGAAAACGTATTAATTAAAAGCTAGTTATGCAAGGGACTAGTATCTCTTGGTTCACTTTCCATCTAACTTTCTTCGAGACATTACATCAGCCCAAGCTACATTCAAGACTCAACATTTCCCCCCTTCCATCAGGAATGGGACTTCCACTGTACTTTACAGCAGCAAAGGCTTTGTTACCTCTACATTTTCAGTGAGACCATATTCAGCATGGGGATTTTCTGGAACCTGTAAAATAGCACATGGTCAGTAAAGTGGAAATTCTCCTTTTACACATATAGCATGACACACCTGAAACATTTTATACAATACCTGTGGCTGTCCCTCCATAATCTGTTCTGTCTCCATGATGTGGAAAGCAGAATTTGCTGGACGTGCAATAACCTTAGAAAGCAATCAAAGCATCGGTCAGCAGGTTGAGATGCAGACCAGTGTTTGCTGGCTGATATTGCATCACTTGGTTACTAAGGCACTGTAAGGAGAGAGAAAACGGAGCTGCTCTCTGCTCCCCCCCGCCAAACTTGCGCACGTTTTCCCCGCACATAAAATTGGGAAGTGCCTTAAGGTTCGCATCACGTCCGCTGGCGAAAACGGCAGCGGGATTAGAAAATACGGCGTTGGTCATTTAAAACAGAAGCCCCCAGGGTTGGGCCCGCTCCCCTGCCCGGCCAGGAGCGCCTGCGGGATGTGGAGCCCCTCCCTCCTTCCCTCATTTCCCCGGCCCGCACACCTGCCCGCCCCACCGCGCTACAGCACCAGCACCAGCACCCCAGGACCCCCCGGCACCCCCT